AGGGAGTGTCATGGTTTGACACTGTGCAATGCCAGCACCCCCATGAAAATGCAGCTTCCCCAAATGAGTGCTGTGAGATGCGATCAGGAACAGAGCAGAGCAGGCGCAAGCTTAAAAACAAAGGGAAAAAACTTTATTAACCTACTGCTATAATAAAAGACACACACAGAATCCAGAATGAAAACCCTCCAAAACATTCCTTCTCTCCCCACCCAATTTCCACCAAAACACAGTGAAACACCACCCGAGATTCCTGATCAAGTTACCACCCTTCAGATAATCAATACTCAGTCCATCAAGGGAGGGAGGAATCTCTCTTGTACCACAGACCCCCAGGAAACACAATTGCCACTTCTTGTGTTTCCATGTGACACCCTCCTCTCCATGTCACAGTGCTGTCACCACTGTGCATGGAAAGACTGCTCATAGGGCTCCTTTAAGGATGCTTTGTCCAGAACCAAAAGAACAACGGTTCAGCTTCTTATTTTCGGCACAACAGTCCCCCTATTTTCTCCTCCCATAGTGCCGAGGGTCTCAAGAACAGAGATCTTCTTTTTCCTGAAGACAGAGGGCATCACCACACCCTCCTCAACTTCCCTCTGTTCACTTCACTCCTGCACTTGCAGTCACTGAAGCAGGTCACTGCCACTCCTGCACTCTCTTAGCTCAAGTCACTGCATACCCCTAAAATGCAGTTTCTGCGTTGCAGGAGGAACTGGTTCAGTCTATGGCTATACAAGAAAAGTCCATCCAAAGCCACTCCATCATCTCCTCCCACCTAGGATTTCTTCTTCTAACATCTCAGGTCCAGACTGTCTCTTTTCTCTTTCAAATCGAGGAGGAGTAGAGATTTGCAAAGCTTTTCTTTACCCAGGAAAGGGTTAAAAGTCTTGGGCTCCCAGAATGGCTGAAATCTTGACTGCCCAGAACTCCGAACTCCAACTCCCATGACTGGGCACTTTCCCCTGCCCCCCCACCTTCACTTTCTCATCTGCCGGTTCTGCCGGCACAGTCTCTGTCTCTCTCTCTCCCTCTGGCGGGGGGAGCAAAGACATCCCAGATTTTCTCCACCCTTCTGTCCGCAGGGGCTGATCTGGTTCCAGTCCCTTCACAGCCTGTGCCTATCTCTCCCAGGCTTCATGGCTGTCCCTCCACCGCCAGCCTGGGCTGGACAGGGCTCCACACTGACCGGAACCAGAGACAGCTCCCCTGGGAATTCTCTGCTTTTAACCCACTGTGTTCTCAGAGGCATGTCCATGCCTTTAGTGGTCACTCCAAGTGCCAGTATCCAAACCTGACCACTGACTGTTTTGACCCCAACTTCCTGAGAAAATTCACTTCCTTGTCAGACCCTGACAGAGAGTCAGGGCTGGGAACGTCTCACCTGGCCACTGCCATCTTGGTGCTATTTGCAGGAAGCATCTGGCTGGGAATCTGCAACCCAAAGGTGATGCTGAGGGACATGTGTTTTGCGGGCACTCTGGGAGATGATGGTTGCTTGCCTAGGGGTGTACAGCAAGACAGAGCTGAAGATGTTTTTGGATCTGCTGCTCATCACTCATGGTGACCTCAACAGCAGTGACAATGAAGCCAGTGAGTATTAGAGAAAGAGCAGGAATTGGAACCTTTTGAGTCCTTCTGGACGAGATCCTCAGGTTCATCTTTGCTACTTCTGGGCAAAACTGTGACTTACTATTTCCCCCCCTTATCTCCATTTAAATGAGATTGGCTGTGTTCACTCGGCTAGAGGAGATCATAGGGGACCCTGAGCCCCATAGGCTGCTGTGGCCTCAGTCCTTGTGCTTCACCAGGACTGGGAATGTGATGGGAGCTGTGTGAGGCTGCCATGAGCTGGGTGTTGCAAGAAGAATTGAAGCAGCTGCAATGCTTTCCCAGTATTTCCCAATGAGATGAATGCAGCCAGCCCAGATCCCAGCCCCAGGGACTGGCTGTAGCTGGAATTTGCTGAAATTCCCCCTTTGCCCTTTCCAGCTCTGTAGCTCAGAGGTGGAAGGCAGACCACCACCAGACAGCCTGGGGAATAGCTGTCCTGGCAGCTTGTGTGGCTGTCAGGTCTCCGGGAAGGCAGCGGCATGGTCAGTGCTCCCTGACGAGAGTGCAGGAGTGAAGGTGATACCCAAGTGGTCCGTTTACATTTTGATGGGTTGGATTTTCCACAGGGATCATTAGTCCTTTCTGATTTCCACTTTAATTAACAACTGCATTATTGAGGTTTCTGCAGGAGTGAGTGCTCATGGATGCTTCATGCTGTATCCTGTGGTGTCCTCGGGGCTGGAGTGCCAGTGCTCCCTAATTGCTCAGGAAGAGGCTTAAATGAGTCAGTGTGAACAATGCTCTTTCCTCATCTCCACCAAATCCCCTGCCTGCTTGTGCCTTTGGGGACTCGGGACCCTGAAGATTCCTTTCTTCCCCATCTGCACCACCTCTTCTGGTTCCTGAGGCTCAGTCCTGCGAGGGGGATGGGTGACCTTCCTGAATGCCACAGGGATGCACTTCAGAGATGACCACACTTTTCTTAGAAATCTTACTGACCCCAGAAAGAGGGGTTGACAGTCACCACATTCCCCTTTCACAATGCAACTGGAAAGCCCCTTTCCTCACTCTGGTGTTCTTCCTGGGGAGCAGAGGCGTGTGAAGCTGCTGTGCTTTGACCCACAAGGTTCCCTGACAGTTGCCATGAAGAAGAACAACCTCCCTTTCCTGTCCATGTTGTTGGCAGGGGCTGTGGGCAGCTCAAGAGGTGGGTCCTGCAGACAGAGGTGGTTAAGAGGTGAGGTCCCAGAGCGATATATTCACAACTCAGCATGATCCTTTTGGTGTAGAGCCAGTTGGGAGCCAGCAGCAGGTGGGAGAACCTTGTGCCAGGGAAGTGGTGGCTGGGGACACCCCTGCTTGCCATGGGATGCAGGACCCAGCAGTGCCTGGAAGGGAGTCCCACAGCACACCCCGAGCACCCCTTTCCAGCCCTTGGTTGTGCTGCAAGACCTATCAAACACACTGAACATGCAAGGAGGTGAGGGTTTGTTGCTGGGCAGCACCCCTAGCACCCCTTGTGGGTGGGTCAGGGCTCTGCTCTTGGGACCCACTTTGCAGAGGGCTCCACACTGTCAGACCAACCCCCAGTGAGGAGCTGGCTCTGGGCTGGGAGCAGTTCTGGCCCCCAGCAACCAGAAGCTGTCATCCTCCCTGCTGTGACATCTCTGTGGCAGTGTCCTGAGGAGATTAAGTAGAGCCAAGGTTGCAGAACTAGCCTACATCCCCAGACCTGTGCTGAGCATGGGGCTGATGACAGACGCTAATCCTGAACTACCTAAACTCGACTCTGCTGGCTTTGGAGTGTCAGCAGGTGCTGACTGAAATTAAGCTGGCACATGCTGTTTGTGCTACTCCTCCTGCCCACCAGCCCCTGCCTGATTCCTTCTCACAGGGCTGGCTTGCTGCAGGGGCAATGCTTTCCTGATGGAGGAGATCACCACACATATGAGGCTGGTGGCAGTGCTGAGATGCAGCACCATATCTGGTGGCATGACTGGAGTTTCCTCTTTCTTCTTAGCATGGAGTGGGGAAGGGGTAGAGCCTCTCCTGCTGTTGAGAGGAGCAGAGGGACTCACTGAGGTCTCTGGGTCCCAGCTGTGTGCCTTGTGCCTGGGTGGATATTTGTCCACATGGAAGGGGTCTGTACACTTCTGTCCCCTTAGGTGCAAGGACAGTCTGAAGCTAGAGCAAGGGTAAAAGAATAGAGGCATAGAGACTCTGCTGCAGGGTTTGTTCACCCCTGTTGCAAAATATTTTTCCTTTTGTCAGTGGGAATTTTATCTGGGTGGATCTGATGCCTTTACATTTGTCCTGCCCCTGGGCCCCACAGAGAAGACCCTGACTCTGGTATCTCCAACTCCCTACAAGGCAGATGCTGACAGCAGCGAGCCTTCCATCGTTTTTTCCCTGGGCTGCACAACCCCAGTGCTCTCTGCTTCCCACAAGGGACTGAAGCAGCCTGGTTTAAGGGACATGACTGCAGGTGGCACTGGCACTGGCACGGCAGTGAGTGACCATACCAAGGAGAAACAAGCCCCGTCCCTGTGCTCCTGTGAAGATTCAAAGTGGGGGTGCTGGTCCTTGCTCTCAGCAGTGCCCATGCAGCGGGTGAGCTGCTGGCACCCTGCACTGTGCACACAGCCTCTGTGGGGGATTTCTGCTCTTCCACAGAGAAAACCTGTTTACAGGAAGCTCTGTAGCTGCCTTTGGCCAATAACCCATTTTCTGGGATACCTGAAAATCAGGTTGTCTATTGGCCTGTGAGATCTTGGCCCTGGAGTGGACTGCTCTGACTGGGTTCTCCTTTCTCTGCCAGCTTCAGATGTGCCCCCATGCAGACACTTGGAAGGGCAGGAGGGGAAAGCCAGGCTTCAGCAACCAGCCAGGGAGACTCTGGGAGGGGAGACAGACATCACCCCACTACCAACATATACTCTAAAAATGGAGTTGAGGCAAGTTCTACCCCCTACAGCATCAGAGGGTTGAGACTACATGATATTTATTGTGAATATCCCAGTATACCAGAGATGTCTCAGAGAGAAGAATGGGAAATGTGTGGGGTGAGAGTGCTATCCCCCAAGTGCTATCCCAGGGTGCTTTCACAAGGTAAAGGGATCCTGGAGCTGCCTGGTCCTGAACAGCAACACCTATGGCCTGAGAGCTGTCAGAGAGGACAAGAGAGTGTTGGCTATGGGACCACAGAACAGTTGGCTGCAGGGAAACAGCTGCTGGGATTTGGGAACTGCTCAAAGATTAAAATCCAGCCTGTTGTAATTCTTTTTACAACCTCCCAGCCTCCAAAAGAAAGTGAAAGCCATGGGCTGGAAGGGTATATAAGCAGTGGGGAACAGCAGCAGCAGGGTATGGGAAGCTGTGCAGAGCTCACCTCTCCTGCCTGGAGCTCCATTGCCTCCAGCCCATCCTCTGCTAGATTTAGCAGCAAAATGCAGCGGGTCCATCTTCTCTGCTTCAGTCTCCTGTTGCCGGGATGTATCCTGGATGGTAAGATGGGACCTCTCAGGCTGCCTTTCCTGGGGAAGTGAGAGGATTCTGCTTCTTCTCTCTTTTGCATTTCCAGCAGACTTCTGGAGGGACACATGGCTGCTGCTTCCTCACAGCCCTCCTGTGTCCGTTTCTTGTAACCTGCCCACAGGGACTTTGTCCTGCCCAAAATCCAGACAGGAGTCTGCAGAGCTCTGGGGCAAGGAAGGTGTGTTTGGGAAAGGCCATGGAGCAATCCTGCCTCCCAGTGCCCTAGCCCAGCTTGCACATATTGGGCTGGGATTTTCTTGGTCCCATTCTCCCCAGGACACCACCGAGGTGACCCTCCTGTCACTCTGTGGTGTAGGGCAGCCTGAAGGCCAGTGGCAGGGCTGGGAGCCAGAGGGAAGATGTCTTTTAGGGCAGGGCTGATGTTTAAGGGGCTGTTGGTGTTGGACATGGCATTTGCACAGGTCGCAGCTGTTTGGGTGGGTGACATCAGAGCCTCTACATGTGGTGGGGAGCTGGGGGGTCCAGATGCCTTGTGGTGTTGCACCACACCTTGCTGCTGAGGGTACAGACACCTGTGGGTGCTGCCAGCCTTGTCAGGTGTTAACAGTGAATACAGAATTTGCTGGGAGGGTGACTCTGCATCTCCTTCCCTGCAGAGCAGCACAGACAGCTATGTCTTTCAGCTGTCACAGGAATGATCCGTGTGGGGTGGGCTGGTGGTGGGGTAGCTGCCAAACCTGTGATCGCTTCAGTAAATAAAGCTGAAGTCACCCCAGCCCCTCAGAAAGGCATGTCTGTATTGCAGCATCCTGAAGAGGGGTAAATAAAGACCCCCGAGTCCTGCCTTGCTAGCTGGGGTGTGGGAGGGTTCCCTTCTGCCTGTTTACTCTTCCCATCTCTTTTGCTTTCTGTTGGAAGGAGGCAAAGGGCTCTCAGCACTGGGCTGTGAGCACAATAAAGCTGGTGCTTGTGTGCCCAGCCAGGGCAGTGTGTGACACCATTCCTGCAGGCACTATCCTGCTGCAGCCCTGTCACCTCCAGGGAAGCTGGGAGAGGTGCAGCTGGCCTCCTCTAGTGTTCCTCCTCCAGTGCACGGCAGGAGCAACGTCCTCGACTGCTGCCTGCGGACAAGCGAGGTGCCCATCCCATGGTGGATCGTGCAGGATTACTGGCTCCAGCTGGTGCAGGATGGCTGTGACATCGATGCTGCCGTGTAAGAGCCCAAGGGCTGATGGCTGAGGGACAAGGCCTCGTGATGGCCAAGGGATGGACCTTGCACAGAGGCAGGGTGGAAGGCAGAGCAGGATGGCAGAGGGATGTTAGGCTGGATTTGAGGGTGGAGGAATAGGGAGAGCTGCAGAAGAGATCATGGAGATCCAGAGGCTCAGTGAGAGGGGGAGAAACGGAGAGGGGAGAGCATGGACAAAAGCCAGGGAAGAAAGTCATCTACAGGGAGAGATGGGGGAGGGCAGTGAGGTAGGGAGTGGGTGAGAGTTTGAGCTGTTCTTGAGCATCCATGGAGTGCCTGTCACTACATCTTGGTTTTTTCCCTCATGGGCCTGGCAGATTCATCACCACAAAGGGCAAATGCCTCTGTGCACCCCTCCATTCCCCGTGGGTGATTCGTCTCCAAAAGAGGCTGGATGCCACCTTTGCCAAGAGGGTAAGAACCATCCCTGTTCTCAGTCAGGCATGAGATCAGCCCAGGGGCTGGGTTTATCCACTGCTGGACAGGCTTTTCCCATTGTGACGGCTGCTGGGAAGAGCAGGACCATGCTCTACTGAGACATTGATAATTTGTTTTGGTCTCCATCCCTCCTGCCTCCAGCTGGGACTAGTCTGCCTCCTTGGTGGTCCTTCTTCCACCCCAATTGAATGCATTCCTGGGATTTTTGTCTACCCAGTATCACTCTTGTCTGAGCCTGGTTTGTGTGCCATGGCAAATGGCACCAAGAGAAAGATCTCTTCTTACTTCTGCCCTTCAAGTTTGGAGTCTGCTTCTTGTGCATCTTGATGGAGAGGGCTTATGATGAGCTTGGTGGGTGCTTCACAAACCCTGACAGGTCCATCACTACCATGGCTTGTCCAGCAGAGGAAGGAATCCTGGGGAAGCTCATACCCCCAAGGAGTACACTAATATCAGTTGGGTTTTTAATTTCCACAGGGCAAGTAGGTCCTCAAGAAGCAATTGCTGGTCCCAACAGCTGGAGGAGACCATCTCCCAGCTATGAATCTGATGCTAACAGAGCCAATCTGCTTCCACCTCCAGCCTCAGGGCTGACCCTCCTTGAGAATCATGCCGGTGTATGGGACTCGGCAGAACCCTGTCTGCTCTGTCTTTGACAATGTGACCCAGAACCTGTCCCAGACTGAGCCAGAGGCTGCTGGACTCCATCATCTTTGCAACCTAGAAGTTGTTTGATGGAGTGATCTGTGCGGTGAGCTGGGGACTCTCAGACTTCCCATCAACACAGCGGTTGTGACCTCCAGCTATAGTCTGATCCCTTTGGTTTCTATTGTGAGCCCCAGCCTAGAATCCTTCTGCATCCCTGGGCAGGGCTGTCAGCATAGAAGAGTGTGGGGCTGGAGGGGAGTGATGGAGATGTTCCACAATGGCAATACATTTTACTGATTCTTGACAAGCACAACCCAGATGCCCTCAGAAAATGTGTAACTGATGTGGTTCCTCTCACTCCTGAATTCCCCGTCCTGTTTACCTTCTGCCCTTCCTTGCAAGGGTAGAAATATAGCCACTAATGTGGAGCAGGCAGAGATGTGGCCCTTAGCCCCGCTCTCCTCCAGGACATTGCACCCTTTCTCAGTCCCTCAGCCTGACACCACTGTCCAGCCCTGCCCCATGCCCATGCCTGGAGGTTGTGCGGCTCTCAAGTTATTTACTTCTAGATCTGTTCATTGCAGCAATTCCATGTGTATGCCTCTTCTTTACTCTCTTTTTTTATTGTGCTGTGATTTTGTTAAATAAAAAGAGAAGCCAGCAGGTAGTTGTTGTGCCTCATGTTTGAGCCTGAAAGCCAGCATGGAGTGTGCGGTGAGCAGACAGCACTGCCTGCTGTGCTGCAGTGGCAAGAGGGCTGTGCTGGGGTGTGGGGAGAAGGAAGGATGGTTCTTGGGGACAAGGGACAGCAACTGGGCTGCAGGTCTCTCCTGGGAGTCCCTCAGCACTGTGGCAAAACAGGTGCCCTGCTCTGCACTTCTCAGCCAGGCTACAGGTGGGCAGGGATGGGGTAGGAGGGAGCATGCCAGTATTGCACCACCCAGCCCCAAACGCTTCAGTCCTGCCAGTGCAGATGCTGGGCTGGAGCTCCCCAAGTCTCAGCTTCCACAGAAGCAGAGGACATGGAAGAAGTGCTGCAGGAATGGGAGGTTTGTCCTTGCAGTAAAGGGAAACTGAGGCACAGTGTGGTTGATTACTCTTGCAGGTCAGTATTTGCTGGCGGCTGGGGTGCAGCTGAGTGGAAGGATGAGCTTTTGGGGCAATGGAGGCTGCTGAAGACTCTTGGGCACATTCATGGATAAGGCACATATGGCAGCCCCCCAGCTCCTGGCACTCATCAACAGTAAGCTGAGAGTCTGTGGCCATTTTCCTCCTGAGCCTCAGGTCTCCTGTGCACTCTGAATAAGGTCTTGCTGTCTCAAAGTGTCCTTTTGTCCACTGTTGTCCAGGCCATGTGATGTCTGAACAAAGCTGTTCTGTCCAGCTGAAGCATTTGTGTGTCCAAGAGGCAGGCACCATCCTCTCCTCCCAGGCACTGCTGTGTGATTGTCTGCATCATTCATCTACTCAGGTTTGATGCTAGTCAGCATGCCTGGGCACAGGTTGGGAGTGAAATGGTTCAGAACTATTCCTGAAGGCAAAGGTACAGCCCTCAGGGGATGGCATCCACAGGGGTGCAGTGGCTGGGCTGTTCAAGCCAGGGGGTGCCCAGGTACCTGATGGCTTTGTGCTGACACCTCTTGAATTCAAGTTTAATCCTGTCCCTTCTTCTCCCCTGGTCATCTGTCTCACTCAGCCAGTGGCTCGTTTCTCTTTCAGATCTTCTCCTCTCTGGGGTCCTCCTCCCTGGTATGTGCACACACAATGCCTCAGGCTCAGGTGTCTCTGAGTGTGACTTTCACAGAGCACCAGCTTTGTCCCAGACCATTAACTATAGTGACAGCCCCAGCAATTCAATCCTGAGCAGAAGAAGGAAGAGAAGGAAGGCTGGTATGGGAAGAGGGGCCAAGATAAACAGTATGAGTGGGAAATGAGGATAACTGGTGATGTCTTGGACAGAAGCCTTCCTGCTGCTCGCTCAGTGACCTGTGAGGGCGTCATGGCTGGGGAGGGGGAGGATGCTTAGCATGGATCTGCTCTGAGGCTGAGCTGCTGCAGCTGGAGCATGTCCCTGTGAAGGGGCAGGGACTGCCAGAGGGGCTTGGCCTGGGGTGCATTAGATTCATGCTTGGCTGCAGGCTACCAGGACAAGGAGAATAGTGTCCTGGACCAGAAAAAATGAGGGAGAAGGGGTTTACACTGATCTCTTGGATGCTGGAAGCAGGTTAATCCTATGAGAGTTCCGGGGAAATCTTTGCCAACCAGCCCTTAAGAGTACGGTTGCAACACCCAGGGTTCTCGTCTCTGCTGGGAGCAGTAAATGTGGTCTCCTCAGAGCTATTCAGCCTGCACACCACAGATCCCTGGTAGGTGCTTGCATGCCATGGTTCTCAAGTGCCATGGTGATCCACATCCCAGCTCTGGCAGCAGGCTGCTCTTATACCCCCAGGGGAGGACAAGAAGAGATACTGTCCTGGACCAGGTACATGGTCCTGGCTCCTGTCCCTCCTCCAGCCCTGCAGCAGCCTCTCCTCCCATGCCAGAGCTCAACTCCTCTTGTAAATCTGTCAAAAACCAGACTGGTTCAGTGCTTAGTAAACTAGGGAGTGAGTTTTTCTGATTCAAAATGTCAATGATCTCTTTAGAAGGAAGCAGCCACTTTCCTTAGGGAAAGTAGCTAGTCACTGCTGTGTCAAAAACCTCAGTTCCCAGCCCAAAGCTAGTCTCAGTAAAAAAAGTCCTGCTTTTCTCTCCCCAGACATGTTTTCCTTGCTCTTTTCCTATCCGCACTGCATCCTCAGGGGTGGGTGGTGCAGGACCAGAATCCATTGCAGTTCAATGCAGACATACCCTCAGTAGCTCAGGAGATACGTGCAGGGATCTCTCTGTCTCTGGAGCATTGGCCGAATCCCCTGTAGCCTTTTATTCAAACCTGGGGACCTGTATTTCGCATGTTGTGGAGCAACAAGGTGCTATAACTGTAGCTTTCACAAGGAGCTGACAAAACAGCCACTCTCTTGGTGACTGTGAGCAAGGCAGGAGAGAAAGGACAGAGCTGCATCTATGCAAGCAAACTGAGCAGGCATCAGGTCACTCCCTGGCTGCCAGCACTCACAGCTGGGATCATGAGAGCACTCGTGTGTCTGCCTGGCATGATGAAAGCTGTCTTGGATGCTGCTCAGGCTGAGCTCAAGGGGCACAAGACACATCAGGCACAATCTGCTGCAGTCTCAGGGTCTGACCTGGCACAGACATACCCAGCTGGGAGCTAGGATTGAAGGTTCCATGGCAGAAAACACCAATTTGCTTCTCTGCAAGCAGGACACCAATGGAAATACTATGTTGGTCTCGCTTGGTGCCATAATACCCTTCACAGGAAAGGTATTTGCTGGAACTGGTTTTGTCCCTTGCCTCCAAAGAGATGGTGTACAGGGGCTTTTCCTGTCACCAGCATCCTCCATGTGCTGCACATGCTGGTCCTGGAGTGACTGGGGAGGAACCAGCTGCATCGTCCCCACATGGTCCTTCAGGTAAGGGGAGCCGCACCATGGGGGCTAAGAGCTGTTCCCCCTCTCACAACCCTCACACAGCTTCTTCACATGACTCCCTGGTGCACAGGAGTCAAGAGGAGGTGTGGACATGCCCTGGGCACATTTGCCAGAGCAGGGGCCAGTTGTTCCCCATTCTGGTGGTTTCCACCTTGTGGTGCCAAGACAAGGGGCTGCTCTTCCTTGGCACAAGTGCCAGATTAGCTGGCAGGGTCTCAGGGACCTGTCTAGGTTTATGTGAGGAGATGGGATATGTGGATGGTTGGGAAGGATGGGAAGCTAGGTGAGGAAAAGCCCCTTTTGTCTTGTTCCATTGTACTGTTTGCTCTTGCCTAAACAACATGTGTGGATGATGGAGAGAATTCAGAACTGGCATCTCTTATCTTCAAGCCCCTGCTTGATCCCCCCTCATTTCCAGCATGTCATCACTACTGCTGTTTGTCTGGACAGTTTCTGCTAAGATTTGTCCTGTGGGCAAATGCCAGCACTCTTAGCCAGGCTGTGCGGTTCCAAAAAGGAGCTGGTGCCATTCCTGCCATGTTCCTCTTGCAGCTGAACTCTGCCTGGTGGCATTGCCCAGCCTGCACCTCCATGATCTGATTGCCAGGACTGGAGCACGAGACCAGAGTTTTTCTCCTGCCCTGAGCTCCTGGAATCAAATTGAGTCCAGAAGCTGTCTTATATGGAGACCCTTGTACCTAGACAGGACTTGACTCAACTTTCTAGAAGTAGTAGGAACTGCATCTCATTGTAGTGGAGGCTGAGCCACGAGACAGGCACAGCTCTGCCCAGGTCCCGGGGCTCCCTTTGGAAAGGGATGAGGGACCCATCCTCTCTGCCCTCAGATGCACCCATCTTCTCTCTATGCACAGAAACACTAAAAACTGGAGATAAAGACAAAACCAGAAGGGCAAGCAAAGAGAAGACTTAACCTGCTGAGAAATCACTCTGGAAACTACCCATTACCCATCCCTCCTGAACAAGCAGCAGGCAGTGACAGGAGGCTTAGTGCCATTTCTGTGGCCCTCCCCACCTCTCCCTCCTGTTTTCCTGCTTAGCCGTGCCTCTAGGTAAAGCTTTTTTCTGCTCTCCACATTGTGTGCCCAGCCACAGAAAGGCTGAGGGAAATCTATCTTCCCTTCTTTCCTCAATTGCTCTGCAACCATGGCAGAATGGCCTGGATACAGGGCAAAAAATAATTATTTTTGTCAGAGACTGAGAGGTCACCTCCAGCTCAGATTGAAGGGATGGGGCATGGAGGGGGCTAGCAAAGATCTGATTAGCTCTGCT